CGCGGGGCTGTGGCCGCCTCGCTGCCCCCGCTGTGCCGGGGCGCGCCCGGAGCCGGCCAAGTTTGCCCCCACGCTCCGTCTCCCATGAAGGTGCTAGTATTTCTTGCAGTGGGTTCGTTTTAAAATCTTTGTCCGTGCTGCTGAACGGGAAAACTGCTGTGAAACTCTTGGTACCAGCACTGTGTTGTCCTGTGTTTGTACCTGTAGGGGTGACCTAACAGGTTACCGCTGGGTCACTGTTAATGGTGCTCAAACGAAAGGCAGCCGTAGAGTGGTTCATAACTTGGTAAGATGCTTCTTTCCCTGGGGTGCTCAGCCTCGGTCAGGCTGGGAGTCCGCAACGCAGGTGCTTCCCTGGCCTTCCCCGCTGTGCAGAAGCAGCAGTGCGAACCCTGGGTTGCAGCCAGCCAAGGCAGACGTGCTTCCACACCTGCCAGGTGGATAGGGGGACGAGGCCGAGCCAAAGGTGGCAGCCGCCTGTAACAGCTGGTTCTTGCTTGTGGCTAGGCACAGAGGAGCACGTTGAACATCTCAGTGTATGCACCTGTCTGTAAAATTCTCCCAAGGATGGAGGTTCTACAGTGTGCCGGGGTTTTTCAGGGACACAGCTGTGTTAAGAAAGCACTTCCTATGGCCATGTATAGAAGGTCTTCTATTTCTCTGTATTTATGAATTTCAAATTGTATTGGTTTGGTGAGGTTAGCAAGGCTATACCATCCCAACAATTTTGTGGTCTTTTCTTGGGATGCACTGGAAATATTTGGCTTTGCTTGTTGCCAAATAAAGAAAAATCACCGACTCAGAGCATGTGAAGTATATGTATACAGCCATTCTGGCAACCTATTAATTGCAGATGGTCTGGTTGGCTTGGAACAGAATGCCTAGCATTTGCTGAGGGGACAGATGGCAGACAAGCCATCTAGTTAAATCAACGGTATAGTGAAATTTTTACAAAAGGAGTGTTCAACAGCAGTGTAAAAATTTCTGAATAAAAACTGTATCTAACTCCTTGAAAATTTCCTTAAACATGGAAGAAAATATAATTTGGGAATCTGTTTTCCAGGTATGCTTCTTTCTCCTCAAGTGCCCTTGTTTGAAATTCTTTAATTATTAGTTAAGATTTTTCGTACCAGTTGGTTGCTTTTAATCTTGTTCAGGATTTGTTAGGCTATCATAGTCCAGCTACCATCTTTAGGTGCAATATTTTTTGTAAATAATTCACTTGGGTCTTTCTTAAGAGGCTAAAGTTCAACACAACGTTTTAATAACGAAATGATTAGAAAAAAAAGAGAACCAAGGGCCGATAAAACTGAGGCAAAAATTCACGTGGTTTAAGATAAAAATCAGTTAACTGTTTTGTTGCTTTTCTCAGTCATAAGGTTTCACTCCTGTTAAACATTATTTTATCCACATGAAGCATTTACCGCCACTACTATGGCTTGGCACACTGTTTCCTTTCAAAATTTGAAAGCCAGTATTGAGAGCTAAATTTGCTTTTTTTTCTTACTGCCCTTTCTGCAATGTTCCTCTTCCACACCCTCTTCCCTCCTGGTAATTTGTTCAGTCTGCTTTTACATAACATAACCTGTAACCTACTCTAATTTGCCCTTGATGTGGGACATGTGAATTAGGAGCTTGAGGTGAGGAATTGAAATTATCCATATAATCAATGAGGCACAGTAGTAAATAGTGTATAAATACCTTACCTGCTTGGCAAGGGACCTTTGTATGGTTTGACATTACTTTCTAAAATAAATTATCTCTTTTCTACCCATGTGAAATTTTGCTTCAACTGTCTACTCCTTCTATTAGTATTTGAGTGAAGAAACAGGACCATATGTTTGGGTAAGTGCTGTCTTCACCACTTCTCTCCAGAAGTCAGGGGGTTACTTTGCTTTGGTTTGTTTTGGGTTTTCTTTTAATTTTTTTTGGTCCCAAGTATGTCAGTAGCATGCTGTGCAAAGAATTTCTGTGAAAGTGGTAGAACGCTTTTTTCAAGTAACTAAACAAGTGATAGTCCTGTCAGTTTAACTGGTTGAGAAGTGTCTGTTTGAACCTGTCTTTTGCTAGTTTTAGTTGACGGTTCCAAAACCTTTATGTGGAACCGGCGAATAACCAGTGTTGCATCTTCACAGTCTCAGTTCTACATGTGATTTTGTGTTCCTCTATCATGCCTCCCTTATCAGTCTTTTACATACACTCAAAGTCTATTCAGTTACTTCTCATATTTTCGTTTTGCTTTGTTCTCTATTCCTTTCCAATCTCTCAAGGATTTTTTGCCATATTTGAATGTTGAGCTGACTTCTTGGTAGCACTTGGTAAAATTCATTTGAAGTTGGTGCTGTTTTTCCCATGTGCATTATAATGCAGTTTTTTCCACGAAGTTCATCCTTTTTTGACTAGTCATTGCATAGGAAGTCTCTCTTCAGCTCTTCACAACCAGGCCTGATTCTAATGCTGCCAAATGGCTTAATTATAGGAAATTCCACTGCCTCTCTGTTCAGCTGCTCAGATTGGTTTGAGTTTGTTGGACAGTGTATAGGTCCCA